TATCGCGGCCGAGCCTGATTGGTCAACATGCCAGGTTTCTTTTGTTCTATAGGGTTCACTGATGATGACAGCGTCTGCTCTTTGTTCAAGAACCAATTGGTCCAGCAGGTCATCAGCTACCCTACTCCTGTTCATATTGCCTTGTATAAATTTAATCATATTCTCCCAAGCTTTGTCTTAGCCTCAGCAAGGGCATCCCTGAAGGCCTTGCACGCTCCCGACCCGGGCAGGTGATGGGAATTTTTCTGTCCATCTCCTGCCGAGCACAGGTAGCAGCTTGGGCTTCCTTTACACGCAGAGGCTATGTGGCCCTGCTGACCACATTTCCAGCATGAACTGCTTCTGTCTGGGCCTTTGCATGCCGCCTTTTTGTGGCCATACCCCAGACAGCGGAAACACCTTTGGACATCCGCGCGCTCTCGGACGCGGCAGATAATCCAACCTACTCGCAGCTTCCCCTTTTCAATAAGAGTCCGGCCTGGCAGTTCATCGATTTCCACCACGGCCATTCTTTGTTCTCGCGAGTTTACAGCGAGGAGAGAGACGCGAAGTTGGCCATTCATCTTGTCTCCTAACTCCCCGCGTATAGCGTTCTCCACTTCTGGGGCCGTGGTTAGGCAGTCCATGCCCAGAACTTCTAGACGTAAACGTCTAGTGAGAATACGGGCGTCTCCAAGCTGGCCAATGGCAGTGCACACATTTTCCTTAAATGCTGTGTGGTTGCCACAGCGCTCCATTTCGATGAGCACGCCGCCTTCGCGGGTTTTCCGAACAGATCGAATTACGGTCTCCGTCTTCTCGGGTTGGAGCTTACCGCGTATCGTTCCCAGCACCTCTGCATAGGTTTTGCCTTCAGCTGGCTTGATTATTAATTTGGCGAGACTCTTCTTTTTTCTCACCCTCTTCTTTTTTTTGCGGCTGGTCGCCTCGCCCTTAGTGACCAAGGGTTCACCTGGCGCTGGCCCTGGCTTGGGCTTTCTGCTTTTTCCAACCGTTTTCCATTGATTGTCTGGTACGGTTTTCTGTGCATTGTTGTTATTATTGCCATTATTATTAGGATTATTAATAATAATGTTTTTACTACTATTATTATTATTAGCAGTAGTATTTTTCTTCTTTTCCGGCTCGCCTGTAGGGGAGTCGGATCGATTATTATTATTATTATTATTATTATTATTATTATTATTATTATTATTATTATTATTATTATTATTATTATTATTATTATTGGTTTATAAAACATATTCTGACAAACATATTCTGAGCGTTCAGAATATATGAGTCTGAAAGGAGTCCTAGGTGGGTAAGAAATATGAGCTTCAAAAACAATAAATGTGTGACACTTATATGAATATTTTAGGAGTTATAAATGATCAAAGTTAGGAGCCAGCACTTTGTGGTTATGTAAAAACAATAAAGATTCGAAATTTATATCTAAACTTGTTTATACAGAAATTGAAAATATTTAAAAAACAAAAAATATACAAAATTTAGCTGCAGCTGCTGCTATTAAATGTATGTTGGAATGTTTATATGAACTGAGGTATGTATACATACATGTGTATAGTATTTGAAGTTCAATAAGAGTTGAAAAATAAGGCCAATATGGCTCAAAGGACAACATAAAATAAGAGTCCAAATGAAGTTATTTATGAGGACTATAAGGCACATTTAAGAGCCTTAAAAAACTCTGAACCGATTCATATATGAGGCCAAAAATTGCTTTAAAAAGAGTCCAAAATGAGCCGTTTATGAAGCCAATAAGAGTCCAATATGACTCATTTGAAGGTTCATTTGATGTATGAATTTAAGCTCATATAAGTCGACCTTCGGAGGAAGGAAAACACACTAATTTCGGGCTCTTAAATGAGCTCATTATGAGCGTAAAGGCTCCGAAATGGGACTCCTTAAAGACTCACTTATGACTCCAAATGTATATTTCATTGATATGTACATATCTCTCGCTCATAGGGAAAGCACTTATTAAATTTTGTTTTTCGTTTTGCGCATGCATTTTATTTTTACTTTAAAATTTTAATACTTCACACAAATTAAAAAAAACGTTTTTCTCGATAAGTCAATGCTGAACCCACACGCTTTATTTCTTTTTAAAGAAATTTCTTTTAATTCCGCAAATCAGAAATTCGCTAGAAATGTAAATACATAATTAATTCCCAATGTCAATTCTTGACTCAAGGGAATGCTTCGAACTATATCCGCTTAATTCACAGAACATGCTTTTCGTGTGAGCGTTTTCAAAATATCTAATTCATTTGTATGTACAAAATCCCATAGTGATACACGAAACACAAAGAAATTTAAGTAAATCAGTTTCTACCTACCGATTATCTTTTGACTTACGGATTCTTAGAAACACACCACTCTTGTAAGACACAAAACTTCGCGAGAAACGTTTAACCTGGTATGTATCTATGTTCAAGACCGTTTTCAATATGTACGAACGACACTAATTACTATTTCAGTTGAAAAAAAAATATCAATAACGAAAAATAAACACTGGCATATGTTGATGCCGTTGAAAAGCAAAATTGTATTCAAAAGAATTTGGTGCAAGTAAATTTTGTTTGCGAAAATTGGTATATCTTTTTTGTCCACATTCCAGTTTTGATAAAATATAGCCTATGTTACGTCCGAGGTCACTGTATAGATACCAGTTAAAGCCCCATGAAAATCCATTCAGTAGTTCCGGAGATTAGTGAGTTCAAACAGAAAAACAATCTACAGTTTTATTATAGTATAGATATTTTTATTGAGCTTTGTACCACGATTGTTTATTAGGGAAAATTGAAAAGGCAACAAAGTCTAAGCGGTAGAAGTTATAGCACTATTTCAGAGATCACCACATCTCCTCATCAGACTTCTTTTTTTTCCAAACTCCAGCAGGTATCGAACCTTTTTTAATATTTTTATTGAGCTTTGTACCACGATTGTTTATTAGGAAAAATTGAAAAAGCAACAAAGTCTAAGTGGTAGAAGTTATAGCACTATTTCAGAGATCACTACTTCTCATCAGACTTCTTTTTTTCTAGAATAAAATGTTAACAAGCCACAATAACATTGACAAATACATAGTTTAGGAAAAGCCTGCCTGAAACTATACAAAAAAGCAAATCAGCAAATGGAAGTATAGAATTGACAACAACAACCACGCTGTCGAGTTTAAATAGCGGC